TACTCGCAAACGAGTTCCTTGTAAATTAGTAGTAGAGTATTTTAATTGATATTTGAGGCTGTGTTCAGAGCCCAAACTCGTCATAATATATCTCATTTATTTGTTTAGCTATTTTGTTTAAATACGAATGATTCAGGTCCACTTTTTTCTCAAACGTGAGACAGAAGTAAAAGATGGGTTCCCTGCGAGATAATGAGTGCTCATGCTCAGCTGCTAAGTGGTGAAACGCAAGACCGCGAAGTTCGAGAGTTTTCGGTTTGAGTTATCCTCTATGGTGGACTTTTAAGTCGAAAATAGCTTAACTTTTTTTACCCGACGACCAAACTCAGACAAAATTCAAATTTTATCTTTGTGCATTTGTTGTTCACCAATTGAAGACTTTAGTCCAACAGGTCTTGCTTTATGGTTGTGAAACATTGAAGATCACAAAGACCGATGAAAGAAAACTGAGCACTTTCCAATGCCAATGCTTAAGAAGGATACTGAAGATTAGATGGCAGCGAAAAATAACAAACAAGAGAGTAGTTGAAATGGCAGAGATCAATGAGATTAGCTGCGAGGTGCGAAGATGAAGGTAGAACCGGGTAGGACACGTACTCAGGAGAGAGGGTGGGAACGACTGTTTTACGGCATTGGGGTGGACACCAGAAGGTCAAAGGGCGAGCGGGAGAACAAAGACTACTTGGTTGACTGACCTTGACCGATAAAACAGTACAATGTGATGTTAGCAGGTAATTTAGTGTTAACAACTGGGTTGAAAACGTAAATTAGCCACCGTAAAGGGTAAAAAAGCTGACGTTTCGAGCGTTAGCCCTTCGTCAGAGCAATGTGATGTTAATTTGGTTTCTGTCTGACGAGCCGAAAAAAAATTTATGCGTGCGTCATTTCTCAGACAATAACGTAAGGATTGATGCTTAACCAATCATTTTTAATTGATTTCCGACAGAGAAAGTCGTCAGTGCGTTTGTTTTGTATGAATGAAAAAAAATGGACACCTTTGCAATTCTTGAACGTCGATATGATAGCTTACAAATCATCATTGCAGCTCGTGTTTATTTCAACTTCTAGATTTGATTTTTCTTCCCGTTTGCCAAATCCCAGTCAGCTCGAATTCTTGTCTTTAAGATCGTGGATGCAAATATTCACGACCTGAAAAAGTGCAATGCAAGAAATTTCTTCGGGTTCACAGATGATAGAATAACATGCCTCAAATGTCTCGTTCTTAGGATCCTCCAACGCCTGATATTTGTCACGGTCCGTTAAAAAATCTCGAGACATAATGTTGCCGGACAGCGAAGGGAATAAGATTTGAGGTAGAGTTCAGTATTTATCCGCAAAAATGATCGAACAGTACTTTCCTTTCCTTTGCTATTCTACCAAACGATGGATCAAACTCTTGATTTGGCCCCCTTGGTTTTAAACTGAACACTATACGACTGCTCCTTTCATTAATTTTTTTCTTGAACTGAGTCCAATTTAACAGCTCGGAAGTGGTTGTGGTTTGCGATTGAAGGGGTTGTTGATCGAAATATTCTTTATCAGTTCTACCAAGTTGTAAGGTAGAAAACTTAGAACGTTCGTAATGGGCATGAATACGACAGAAATTAACGTCGACACACGCGCCGACAATTAGCAAATATTAGCGGCTTTCCATGATTTACGAAACGATGGATTTTCGTCTTCAATTTTTTGTAGACGGAATCAACGACGGAATCATTTTCTTTGCCTTTAGCCTCGTCAGAAGTTTTTCTTTGAAAGTTTATTTTTTTTCATTTCATTTCAAATAACTCTAAATCAAATCTACGCACCTGAATAAACTCTTCAGTTTTATCTTCCGGTCTGTAACCACAACGATTGGAACAAGTCTTCGGGTACTGCCTCCACCATAAAAGTGTGTTCTACGCCTTGAACGACGCCACTTTGGAGGAGTTAAAATGCCTCCTATTCCATGGCTTTCCTGAACAAGAGCTAGAGTGACGAACAGAATGAATACTGTAACAAGAATTACCTCCTTTCTCATCTTTTTCTCAATCTAATTGCCAGACACCTGATGAATGCCGAAACAAGACAAAGTCTTCAGAGAGACTGACGGCGGAACGTGAGTGTGCAACCCCTTATTTCATCAGTAAGTTAATTAGTCATCTCAATAACACGTGCTATCGGCTCCAACTTGCTCTTGATTGGTCGAATTTTCTGCTACCGCGACGAATCCCTTTGATGATTGGATAAAAGCGAAAAAGACGGCAAAACTCACCACGCATGCGGAACAAGTACAGACGCATTTCAAATTCTGTACTTTTTGCTTATCGTAGCAACTATTAACGCACAATGACGAAAAATCCTTCAGTTACAAAAATAAGACTATATTTATCCAACTTTAGTAGACTCGTTAACTTGCTAGTCTGCCTTTCAGCTCTGAGTTGAAATTGTCTCCAAAATTATTAATATTAAAGATATCAGATTTGGCAATAACCACGTGGAGGGGATTTGATTGGTTGTTAAAACTTCCTGTACAAAATTAAAAACATTCACGTATCAGGTGCGTAGACAGTATTTTTCAAACTCCCTGGAAGGGGTCACACCGTGTCAAAAGAGAGTACTCACCAGATTGTCATGCCGACCTCCACGCCGTGTTTTACTTAATGTGACAATGACGACATGCTTACAGAAGGGTGACATGGGCACCCCAGGACCCCCCTCCCCAAGTTACGCTCTTGCGTATATGTCATTAAAAGATTTCTGATGCCTTTTGAATTTTAATATATTGGAAATGGCCTGTTGAATCTGATTTCAGATTAACTGGCGAGATTGTTAGTCAAAATCATTTTTTATGTTTATTGTATTAAACTGATGTTAGCTTAATATGCCACTCTCTTATTTTGCTGCAAAATGAAATCTGTTTCTGAAATAGCTATGGCTTAGGGATTTAATTATAGGTACTGTTATTTATGTCACGCTCTGTCCTCCAACATAGATTTTTATAGTTAGTAAGAACCAGTCAAAATGCCTGCATAATTCAGCTATTGATATGAAAAGTCTTCGAATGCAATCCAGTAACAACTCTGTATAATTACCTTTTATCAATTGTTTTTGTCCGCAAAAGCTTTAAATTTGTAATAGAAGTTGCTTTTTACGAAAATCAACATCAAGGCAGGATTTGCATATTGCTTACGATTTATTTCCAATTCTAAAATACAAAGGAAAACTGTTTTTATGTGTTTACATATTTCATATTACAGACAAACAGTTAGTCACAATGTGCATAGTTTTGCAACCAAGCAACAAATATGAGGTAATGCCATCTCGGACTGTTTAATTGCTTGAACTCTACACGTTCTTCTACCGATGTATTGAAGTTGAAAGTTGTGTCTATTATCGACTTTTTTCACGTGCGTAGTATCCGTCTTGGTGCCTCGCTCGCAAAAAGAAATCAAATTCTGAGGTCTAAGTTACAAGGAGTGAGCTCTTGTTAACAACACAATCTGGTATCAGTTGTTATCTTTTCCGACACAGTGGAGAATTGATTTGGTTTCCACCTGCTTTCGTCCATTAAAAAAAGCAGCCTCTCTCTCTTTCAAAGCTTGCTTGTTTAGGGACAAAACG